TCATCCGAGAGACACCGAATAATCCTGCTCCATTCTCAATCTTCTAGCTAAGAGCTTTCAGATCACAGAAGCTGTCCCAAGAATCGTTTCCATTGCATGTTCACTCAACACAAAAATTCTCATATTAATCTATCTGATCTAAAAACCTGGCGCTATCCATTACCCGCGCATCGTCCCGTCCGTGAACAGCGTTTGTCAGCCCTCCTCTTAAAAGCATAAGCTGCTCCTGTGCTGTCTCTACATCCATCAACTACCCAACTCGAACCCCTGATACCCTCCACCAAACCACTAGCAACAATGGCCTCCGCAACCTCCTTCCGCCACGACATCCTCGGGATCCCCAAATCGAGCGCCACCCCCAAAGACTCCGTCCTCGTAATCATCGACGCCCAGAACGAATACGCCAAAGGCAAGCTCGCCGTCTCGAATCTCGAGTCTTCTCGCGCCGCCATTCGCTCCCTCCTCGACAAGTACCGCCAAGCCGACGGCAAGATCGTGCATATCCTGCACTCCGTCCCCGAAGGCGCGCCCGTCTTCACGCCCGGCACGGAGCTCGAGAAGGAGTTCGACGAGCTGAAGCCGCAGGGGAATGAGAAGGTTATTGTTAAGAAGTACCCGGGTAGCTTCGCGGAGACGAGCCTTAAGGATGAGCTGAAGAGCTTGCCGGACGAGGCGCCGGGTAAGATCGTGCTGTGTGGGTATATGGCGCATGTGTGTGTTAGCACCACGGCGAGGGAGGCGCATCAGCTCGGGTATGATGTTGTGCTGGTCGAGGATGCGATTGGGGATAGGGATATCCCGGGCGCGAGCGGGGAAGAGGTTACGAAGATGGTTATGTTGGAGCTGAGTGATATGTTTGGGACTGTGGTGAAGAGCGATGAGATCAAGTAGAGGAGGAGTAGTCCATAAGACGAATTGATGTCCTTTGATGTCTTCCTGTTTCTATTAGAAGCCTTCCACTTGGGAAAGTGGTCTTCCCTTGCTCGAACCGGGCGTGTAGACACAATGTTAGACATAATGCTGTACGACCATAAGCTCCTCCGTGTGATCTATAAATATGTCCTGCAGTAGCTGTCCACTGTGGACATTGTGTGGAATACCCAGGTGGGCTCTTGTTGCGAGCGGGCTACCTTATCCTATGAGGAACGCGATGTCATCCTCGTATGGAATAACCATATCCGTGATGCCGGAGAAGGCAGGCTTGGCTCCATTATGAAGATCAAGAACCATGAGAATGATATGGATTACAGGCTGAACAAGCTCCGATGTAAGATTGAGGCAAGTATAAGGCTGAATGCACGTGACCCCTGTCGGCAGCTGCACCGCTCGTGGCGTGGCTGCCCCGCGAGCGTTCGCGATCTGTCGGCCATTTGCTTGACGTACTCTCAACTTCGGGATAGCCACTTAAGGCTATCCGCAAACCACCATGAGCGCCACTCACCAAGGGCGGCCGTCCCATAACTACAGGCCCGGTGGCGTGCACCGCGATCAGTCCTGGTCCCAACTCAACCTCAGCATGCCGAACCGCGTAGAAACCGAGCTCGAAAAGCTCGACCCCACCGTCCCCTTCAGAGCCACCCGCGCGCATTTGCATCACACATGGGCCAAGACCTTCCATGCGAGGCCCGAGCTATACATCCGACCAGAGTCGCTGGAGGAGATACAGAAGATTGTCACACTAGCGCGGCGATGTCGACGACGGGTGGTGGTTGTGGGCTGCGGACACTCACCTAGTGATCTGACCTGCACCTCGGCGTGGATGGTGAACCTGGACAGATACAACAGGGTGCTAAACGTGGACAAGGAGAAGAAGACCATGACGGTGCAAGGCGGCATACGGTTACACGAGCTGAATCTGCGCGCAAAGGACTATGGCCTCACAATGCCGAATCTGGGCAGCATAGACCAGCAGTCCATCGTAGGCGCCATGGCTACCGCAACACACGGCTCCTCTACCAAGCACGGCCTACTATCGCAGTCAGTCCGCTCCCTGCGCATCGTCCTCGCAAACGGTAGCGCAGTCCGCTGCTCCCCAACCCAGCAACCGGACCTCTTCCGCGCCGCGCTCGTGAGTCTCGGCACGCTCGGCATAATCGTCGAAGTAGAGTACGAAATGGTCGACGCCTGCAACATCGAATGGGAGCAGACCCTCAACCCTCTCTCCTACGTTCTGGACAAATGGGGCAAAGACCTCTGGACAAGTCGCGAATTCACGCGCGTCTGGTGGCTCCCATACATGAAGCGCGCCATAATCTGGCGGGCCCACAAAACGCACAAACCCTGCCGTCCGCCGCAGGAAAGCTTCTACGGCGGCTCCATCGGCTTCCACACATACCACATCCTGCTATGGATAGCAAACTACGTCCCACGCATCCTCCCAGCGATCGAGTGGTTCGTCTTCGGGATGCAATACGGCTTCTCCTACGGCACCACCACCACCGCGGTTGAGGAGCAGCGCACGGGACTGCTGATGAACTGCCTATACTCGCAGTTCGTCAACGAGTGGGCCATCCCCTTACACCGGGGCCCTGAAGCCCTGACACGGCTCTCGGCGTGGCTGAACGGCGACGAGGCGGGGTCCAGGATCCCCTTCTCCACGAAAGGGCTGTGGGTGCACGCGCCCATCGAGGTGCGTGTCAGCGACACAAGCGCGACGGAGCCGCGGCCGTTCATGGATAACACGCCTAAAGACGGCCCGACGCTGTACCTGAACGCGACGCTGTATAGGCCGTATAACCGGGATCCGCCGTGCAAGGACCGGTATTATGAGGCCTTTGAGTGGCTGATGAAGGAGCTGGGCGGGCGGCCGCACTGGGCGAAGAACTTCACGTTCGTGGCGCAGCCCGAGATCGCGGAGATGTACGGCGAGGATCTGGAGGCGTACTTACGTGTGCGGAATGAAGTCGATCCGGAAGGCATGTTTGTCGGGGAGTGGCATCGGCGGAACCTGCTGCCGGAGTCGCAGCCGCTGTTCCCGCTCGAGGAGCGGGAAGTGACGCGCAGAGCTGCCCAAGACGGCGGCGTGGAATGGGTGGGTGAGCAGGCGGCTAAGGCGAGTCCGAAGTCGAGCACTAGCGAGGAGAGCTTTGATATCCTGCATGGCGCGGAGGCGGAGGCGAGTTTGGTGCTTGAGAGGCTGAAGGAGGAGGCGAGCACTGAGGATGAAAGCGAGAGCCTGGAGGATGAGGTGCATGGGAGTATGAGGCAGGGGGCTACTGGGATTGAGGTGTTTAACAAGATGTAGGGTAGTGCTAGTATTCGAGCTCATGAGATGAATGTCGCCATGAAATCCAGCGTCAACTCTGACACCACATTTGTACGGAATTGGAGGCAGCGTCTTGGCTTCGACATGTTCACAGCTTCAGCTCAGTCGCTTCAGTGAACCGGATCTTCACATGCTTGAAGCGCGACGCGTTACCACTGCGCTAAGCTGGCTGTGGCAGCGACGTAGCTGCTCTGAAAAAGCTCGACTAACATTGCTCTTGAACTTTCGTTATCAGACATCCAAGCGCGGCCGTCTGACCAGGATGAACTACGCCCCTACTAACCCCTTACCTTCGCCCATCTCTAAAATCCTCACGGCGCGATAGTCCTCCCACCAGGAGCACAAGTATCCCCACCAGCATCATCCACACACGCGAAAGCCCTAACGCCGACAATCCTATGTCCACCCGGATAGTCGTACCTCAAGGTATTCGAAACCGTATTGCCGACACCAAGACTGTTCCTCAGCTTGCCAGTCCGGGGCAGTACCTGGGTCCGACCGTCCGCGCCATACACATGGTACCAGCCGTAGACGTCGTTGGAATCGCCGCGGGTGTCGCGCACGGTGAGGACGACGTTGACGCTGTTGGAATCGAGGAAGGTGACGTCGGCGCAGGCGAGGACGCCGTAGGCTTTGCCGGAGAAGTCGCCGGAGCAGGATTGTGAAGCGGCGCGGGGAGTGAGGGAGGAGTCGATTGGGTTGGCGAAGGTTGGGTGTGCTTGGAGAAGAGACATAGAGATGAGGAGTGAGGAGAGGGAAAAAGAGGTAGAGAAAAGCATGATGATTGAGTGATTTTCCTTGAAGGATATTGCTTTGATGGTTTAGCTTGGGTGATAAGCTACGGATTCAAGCATCACCAGATCCAGTACGAAGGATGGTATATATACTGTAGATTAGCTTGGCATACTGAGAGTTTGAAAGGGATGATGGATACAACCATCGTTGAGGAAACCCAACTTCGGCGATGCTTCCAGTTCCGTCTTATGCTTGATGATTAATACGAACGCTGTGACCTCGTACTCATCTATGGAAAGCGAAGGTGCCGTATTAACCTATCTTCCTGCAAGTGCTGCCGAGTATAGCACCATGACTATTTGTAGCTGCGCCGGTGCGACTGAGCCTGCAAATCGCAGTCCTGCTCTCGTACTTCGCACCACTAAGAGATGCTCGCCGTGTTAGGCGGCGGCTAGCGCTGGCATGTGAAGTGACCCCGTGATATTCTGTATGCTGGGGTTGTATTTTTCCTTTAACGGTTCTGGTTTCTAACTGCGTCAAGCATGCGAGTCCGCTCGACACAGGAGGCTTCCAGCATAATACGTGTTCATATCGAGACGCTTTCGCTCAGATTGAAATCCTACTGGGATCAGTTTTTGAGACAGCTTTGGCATATCAAGGTGAAGCGTCTGGTATAATTCCAGCTCGGTTGCACCTCGACTGGATATCATAGCACAGATACTGGACTGATTACACACCGTAGATAGATAGATATAATGCTCCGACGGATAAGGCGCCTTAGGCCTCATGCTCTCGTACATCCAAAGGTGTCTAATGTTCTGGCTACTATTATTGTTACAGCGTCGGCTCAATCACTCTCGTGGCCCGAAAATTCGAGGTTTCAACTATCCCCACCGCTCACAAACCTGAAATCCGTCACAAACAGAACTCATAGCAAAAAGACAACCGCGATTAACATCGGAACAAAATGCAAAAAGGAAATTCGCTAGTGGTGTCTGTCTGCCGACGCCCAGAATTGAACTGAGGATCTTCGCATGCCGAAGGGCAGAATATCACGTGATACAAGTGCGACGCGTTACCACTGCGCCACGCCGGCTGTGGATAGCGAATTAGGAATATTTTTCCACTAATACAATACTTATAGCAAAATCTAATTTGATAGAGATATCAACCCTCCGCTTTTTGAGAATGAAAGAACGTGTTTCCTGGCGACCGTAAGATTTTACAGCGGTTCGAGGCTTGGAAGGGTCTCTCAACACTCCAAATTCGCTTCCACGGCCAGCTTGGCGCAGTGGTAACGCGTCGCACTTGTATCACGTGATATGAGTTGATGATGCCCCTGACATGCATGGTGGGGCAGTCGAAGCGCAAAACCATCTTAGCGGGGCTGTAGAGTTCTTCGTGCTGCACTGGATATGTAGGTAGAACGATCTCTTGACACGATCGAGTCCAGACTCCTAGTACTCACTACTCATGAGTATATTACTCGTTGTTTAACAATCCTTTCCTCGTCTTAAATCGCCCGGTCGTTACTCTATCTCCTCGTCAGATTCCTGCACCTCAAACCACCTCCTTCCCGCTTGTTTATCAAAATGTCGACCACCCAAGAAGCACCCTCCCTCCCCCAACCCCCCGCTCCCTTCCCGAGATCGAAGCCGTCGAATCCTCCCTCACATTCCCCACCTTCACCGCAACCACAGCCTGGGACCTCGGCTGCCGTCTCCGCACCCGCCTCCTCGCTTTCCCCACCGCGACCGTAATCTCCATCTCCCTCGCCAACAGCAACCAGCTACTTTTCCACAGCGTGACGCACCCTGGCGGGACGGCGCCCGACAACGACAGCTGGGTGGCGCGGAAGCGAAAGACTGTGCTGAGGTGGGGGAGGAGCACGTGGTGGATGCATTGTAAGATGGGCGGGGATGAGGCGGCGTTTAAGGCGAAGTATGCGCTAGGGGAGAGCGCGGGGGAGTATGCAATTCATGGGGGTGGGGTGCCGGTTAGGGTGAAGGGGGTCGAGGGGGTTATTGGAGTTATTGTTGTTAGTGGGCTGAAGCAGGAGCAGGATCACCAGGTTGTCGTGGAGACTATTAAGGAGTATCTTGCTGATCAGGGGAGTTGAATGAGTAGCGCGCTGGAAGAAGGATCTTGAAGGATAGGCAGCCGTCGCGGCGGCGCTTCGAGGAGCGGGTTGGAGGTGGCTTGGTAGACACCAGCTTTCATGACGTGTTTGAGCCGAGAGCCGGGAGAAAATGGCATAAAGTTTGGGAAGAAGGTCCAAAGGGAAGATGGTTCAGGCCACAACGCATCCAACATCACGCGGTCGATGTGCGAAGACATCTTACTTTTGAATGTCAAAGATATAAACAATCTCCATCTCATGGTTCCATCTTTCACACTACTAAAGATGTTATGGCTGATGACAGATGTTTCGTGCTGTACAGAATAAGATGAACATAGCCGCTTGATCTTCACAGCCGACAGCAGGCGCCACCGACCAGCCGGGGAGGCCGAGGTAACCAGTAACAAGGCGGAGAGGGAGAAGTTGGCCGACGCCATGAGTTTTCTGTGATGCTGTGGGCGAGAAGAGTAGAAATCCTTTCGGAGACTCGATGTTGAACGATCAGAAGCTGGGAACGCTGTTACGCGGGCTTTGAGTCCTTCGTTGCGTGATGTTTCACAGAGAGGACCTCGCGAGATTCGCAGACCAGTAATTGCCGCCGCGGCCATTCCCCGTTGGCCCTTACAGGCCGTCTGTAGTAAACCCTTCACCATACCCGTCTGCCAGATGAAGCCCTCTGTCTCTTCGTGTGGATATCAGATCTCTACCCACTGCCTTTTGAAACAGCCAGGACTTTCTGAGTAACGTGATCCAGCTCGTTCAAGTGTGAACCACCTGCCTTCAGATACCTCTAACAGCTGATGTCCCGCCATGGCCGAGTTCGCAGAAACCGCCTCCTGAATGACCCACGGGCGCAGAAAGCGGTTGTCCTTGGTGGAATGGACTCGAAGGATGGCTAGCACCCTGCAAATTGCCCTTTCAAGGCTATGCAAAGCGTTGCCTTGACCTCCCGCTACCGCGTAAGAAGACTCTCAAGATTCCGTTGCCGTGGAGACTCAGGCTCTTGGATTTTTCGAATTGAATGATGGGGTTGACGGTGGGAATGAACGGTTCGAAAGACAACAATCATTCATTTGCTCCAATTCCACCGACAGGTGCTATCCACACTTTCGGCGTACGGCAGGAATGGCTGGCTTCGTTGCCGCTGTGATGCTGATAGCTAGAGTTTCTGTGAAGAAGCAAGAACCCTATTGCGAGGTTATGTTGTTCCGCTACAGTCTCCTGACCTAGAACACGCCAGTGGTGTCCTCAAGATGCAGCAGTCGTGTGGTTCCAGGATGACCTCCACAGCGCGTATTGAAGTGGCAAGTAGAAACTCCGCGGAGAAGGCCAGAACAGCTCAATTAGAAACATTCCGCCAGTGAGGAAGTCGTGGACAGATCGTGCCGTTCTTTGGATCCAGCGTTTCCACGGCCATGAAATGTATCATCCAGGGACAAGCTTTCATCTTCATCCCAGGCATCATCCGCCAGAGCAACGGTGTCACTACCGTCCGGCACCGACTTTTTCCCGGTAAGGATCTCATACAACGAGTCCTCGCTCTCGTCACCTACGCCCGGCGTGCTTGGATGCTCGAACCTAAGGATAGCGTCTCTGCCTTCAGGCCATGCGAGTACATAACCAGTAGCATCCCCAAGGACGATGCACGGCTTTTTGTCGCTTGTTGTACTAAGCCAGCGGGCTTCAAGTCGGTGGACTGGTCTGTCTGAGGGGATGCTCAGGGCCTCTGGCGCAGCTTTGAGCGAGTCCCATACGTAGACAGTCGAGTCATCGTGGGTGCACTGAACCAGTAGCAAGTGGGGCTTCGTCGGGTGCCAGGAGAGGTGCTTGATTGGAGAATGTTGGATCAGAACAGTCTGAGGTGCGAGACGTGTCAGGTTCCAGAGCCAGACGGTGGTCGGTGTGGAGTCGTCCCTTGTGGCCACGAAAGTACCTTCCGCGTTGAAAACTATGATAGAGATGCCACTTTTCGGACTCCCATCATTAGCGGGTGATGGCGCCTTCGGCGGAGATACCGGTTGCGCGGCGATGGTGTATCTTCGCTCCGATGTGGCGGAGACTTGCTCTTGCCACACGTCACCTACAGCGAGCTGGATGGTTGGAGTATGATCTAAAAACACGGCAGCGGAGAACTGCTGCGGTCAGTCAAGCTAGATAACATGTAGAGAGGACATAATATACCGTGCGCGTGCTCAAAAGAGTGACTCTCCTATCAAATCCTCCAATAGCTAAAAAGTCCCCTCTTGGACTCCATTCAAGGCTCTTCACGCCCAGGCCAACGATACCTTCCACAACCTCTCCATTCCACTCACGATACAGATGACCGTCTGCCGTAAAGATATGAATCTTGAAGCCGACACTTGGCGCGTCCCAAACGGCTAGCCATCGTCCGTCCGGACTCCACTTTAGGCCCTGCGCATCTGCCGTCTGGAGTTGCACCGTCTTAATTACAGCGTGACTGCTCGGCGCATGCAGCGTAAGGATGTCCTGTGGACCTGGTCTGCTCAAGAGTGCCAACACGCCGTTCCCAGGCCTGAGTCCGAAGCTTCTTGTTGACGCAAATTTGGGATCTTTGATCTCGACGCTGCGGCCAGTGGTCAACGACCACACAGTAAACCTCGCGCTGAAGTCTGAGAACAGCAGCACCTCATCCTCTGTCCTCCCGAACTCTGCATTCATGATCTTGCCAGCGCCACCACTGCCATTGTTGATGTGCGCGCACCATTTGGTGTCACGGATGTCGTAGACATGGACGTTGTTGCCGTCTCCAAGGAGGAAGCGACTTGAGATAGATTCTTGTGAAGAAGGTGGAGCCCAGCGTAGGATTTGACTCTTCGGATCGTGGTCTGGAGGGTCTGGATGCTGCGGACTGCCTCGAGGCTGTTTGTTGCGCGAATATGAAGTCGGTTGCCATTGATACTGGCAATGTGGGCTCCGTCTAGGGACGGAACGCAAATATGGGATGCTACAGTCCGTCAGCAAAAGAGACGATAAGGTATAGCTTGGAAGCTTTGTTTGTCATACAGTTGTATCGGTCTGACACCTCCATCTCAGCATCAAGGACGTTGTGCAGCTTTCATTGTTTGTAGTAAACAGCTTGGCGGCGTGCGTAGATCGCGGGAACACTTCCGCGCGTCTTCACGCTTCCCAAACGGGTAACAGGCTCCTATCTGTAGAACGTCGCAATTCGACTAGGGCGTTTAAGGTGTTTGAATCGAGTTCGAAACAAGTTCGAAGGAAGAGCAGGGTCAGCCCCACAGGCAGTTAGGCGCATGGATATCACGAGGTACTCCGTAGGTTCTTCGATGGGCCGTCCGGAGTTGACACTTCATTCATCTACCCTCATGTTATCAATGCATCTTGAATTGGAGCGGCAGGCCACATACACCCCATTGAGAACTTCACAGCTTTCGAGACATCACAAATGATTGTTTACATGTCGTCGAATTGCCTATACCCTACCTCCAGATGACGAATGAATCGCACATTGCTGATGCACTATCAGGTGTGCTAAGCTATGCCACGCGCTGCCAATACACCTCTATGCATCATACAAATAACGCTGAAACCCAACTTCTGCATTGTTGGATCTGCCAGTAGAGAATGCATAGCTCCTCCAGATGCTGAGAAGAAGGACTCATCCAACGCACACGACGCCGAATCCATGGACTCGCCGCCCAACATACCATATCATCATTTGCTCGTCGACTTGAACCCGGCAATCGAAGTTCCACCCGATATACAGTGTATGCAGAGGACCGCAGAAGCGAAAGAAGATGAGAACGTGCAGTGAGATCCGAGCGCGGGCGGGGAATGATTCCATGTCGCGGGCACACGACTCGACCGATGCCGTTATCGGTAGCCATTCGAGCGAGCTGATGTTTTTGCTTCCGCCCGCTCCTTTTCTTTCTTCTCCTTGTCGAGCCGGATCTTGGTGGCTTCGGTGCCGTCATCCTTCAGCAATTCCCTGAACCAGG